GTTACATAGTTTCAGGTGTACAATATAGTACAATTCCATGTATCACCTGGTGCTCATCACAAATGCCCTCCTTAATCCCCATCACCTATTTAATCCCCAACTCCCATCTTCTCTGGTAACCATCAGTCTGTTCTCCATAATTGAGAGTCTATTTCTTTGTGTGTGTGTGTGTGTGTGTCTCTCTCCCTTTGCTCATTTGTTTTGTTTCTTAAATTCCACATATGAGGGAAATCATATGGTATTTGTGTTTTTCTGATTGACTTATTTCCTTAGCATTATACTCTCTAGCTCCCTCCATGTTGTTGCAAATGGCAAGATTTCATTATTTTTAAGGCTGAATAGTATTATAATATAATATGGTAATGGTATTTATGGCCGAATATATATCACATCTTCTTTATCCATTCATCAGTTGATGGACAATTTGGCTGCTTCCATATCTTGACTATTGTAAATAATGCTGCTATAAGCATGGGGTGTGTGTATCCCTTTAATAGTGTTTTTGTATTCTTTGGGTAAATTCCCAGTAGTGCAATTGCTGGATTGTAGGATAGTTCTATTTTTAACTTTTTGAGTAACCTCCATACTGTTTTCCATATGGCTTCACCAGTTTGCATTCCCACCAGCAATGCATGAGGGTTCCTTTTCTCTCCATATCTTCATCAACACGTGTTGTTTCTTGTGTTTTTTATTTTAGCCATTCTGACAGGTGTGAAGTGATATCTCACCGTAGGTTTGATTTGCATTTCCCTGATGATCAGTGATGGTGATCATCTTTTCATGTGTCTGTTGGCCATCTGTATGTCTTCTTTGGAGAAATATCTATTCCTGTCTTCTGTCCATTTTTTTTTTAATCTTTTTTTTTTTTTAAGATTTTATTTATTTATTTGAGAGAGAGAGAATGAGAGAGAGCACATGAGAGGGGGGAGGGGCAGAGGGAGAAGCAGACTCCCCGCCGAGCAGGGAGCCCGATGCGGGACTCGATCCCGGGACTCCAGGATCATGACCTGAGCCGAAGGCAGTCGCTTAACCAACTGAGCCACCCAGGCGCCCTTCTGTCCATTTTTTAATTGGATAATTTATTTTTTGGGTGTTGAGTTTTATTAGATCTTTATATATTTTGCATACTAACCCTTTGTCAGATATATCATTTGTAAATATCTTCTCCCATTCAGTAGGATACCTTTTAGTTTTGCTGATTGTTTCCTTTGCTGTGCAGAAGCTTTTCATTTTGATGTAGCCCCAGTAGTTTATTTTTGCTTTTGTTTCTCTTTCCTCAGGAGAAATATCTAGAAAAAAGTTGCTACAGCCAGTGTCAAAGAAGTTACTGCTTGTGTTTTTGGTGTACTTGTAAATGGGATTGTTTTCTTAATTTTTCTCTTTCTGCTGCTTCATTATTGGTGTATAGAAATGCAACAGATTTCTGTACATTGATTTTGTACATCCATTATGATTTTTTCCTGAGACTTTACTAACTTGCTGCGGCTAGGATTTCAAATACTGTGTTGAATAGAATTGGTGAGGGTGGACATTCTTGTGTTATTTCTGACCTTAGGGAGAAAGCTCTCAGTTTTTCCCCATTGAGGATGATGTTTGCTGTGGGTTTTTCATATACGGCCTTTATGATGAGGTGTGTTCCCTCTAAACCTACCCTGTTGAAGGTTTTTATCATGACTGGATGTTGTACTTTGTCAAATGCTTTTTCTGCCATCTATTGAAATGATCATATGGTTTTTATCCTTTCTCCTTTGCATCCTGAAAATAAATCCTATCTGATTGTGGCAATTGATTTTTTTAATGTATTGTTGAATTCAGTTTCCTACTATTTTATTGACAATTTTTGCATCTATGTTCATCAGGGATATTGGCCTATAGTTCTTTTTTTAGTGGTGATTTTATCTGATTTTGGTATCAAGATAATGCTGGCCTTATAGAATGAATTTGGAAGTGTTCCTTTCTTTTTGTTTTTTTTTGGAATAGTTTGAGAAGAATAGGTATTAACTCTTCTTTAAATGTTTGGTAGAATTCACCTGTGAAGCCATCTGGTCCTGGACTTCTGTTTGTTGGGAGTTTTTTGATTACGGATTCAATTTCTTTGCTGGTATCAGTCTATTCAAATTTTCTATTTCTTCCTGTTTCAGTTTTGGTAGTTTATATGTTTCTGGGAATTTATATCTTCTAAGCTACCCAGTTGGTTGGTATTTAGATTTTTATAATGTTTTCTTATAATTTTTTGTATTTCTGTGGTGTTGGTTATTTCTCCTCTCTCATTTGTGACTTTGTGTCCTTTCTCTTTTCTTTTTGACAAGTCTGGCTAGAAGTTCATCAATTTTATTAGTTTTTTCAAAGAACCATCTCCTGGTTTCATTGATTTGCTCTATTGTCTTTTTAGTTTCTGTATCATTTTTCTCTCTACTGTTTATTATTTCCTTCCTTTTGCTGATTTTATGTTTTGTTTGTTGTTCTTTCACTAGCTTGTAAGTTTAGGTTGTTTATTTGATTTTTTTTTTTTCTCACTTCTTGAGGTAGCAATTAACTTCATTGCAATTAACTTCCCTCTTAGAACCGCTTTTGTTGCATCTCAAAGGTTTTGGGCCATTGTGTTTTCATTTTCATATGTTTCCATGTACTTTTTTATTTCTGTTTTTATTTCCTGGTTGAAGTATTCATTGTTTAGTGGCATGTTACGTAACCTCCATGCATTTGTGTTCTTTTCAGGTTTTTTCTTGTAATTGACTTTAGATTCTATGGCCTTGTGGTCAGAAAAGATGCATGGTATTGACTTGTCTTCTTGATTTTGTTGGGACTGGTTTTGTGGGCTATTATGTCATCTATTCTGGAGAATATTCATGTGCACTTGAAAAGAATGTGTATTTTGCTGTTTTAGGATGGAATGTCCTGAATATATCTGTTAAACCCATCTGTTCCAGTGTGTCTTTCAAAGCCATTGTTTTCTTGTTGATTTTCTGTTAGATGATCTGTCCATTGATGTAAGTGGGGTGTTAATGTACCCTACTATTATATTATTATCAATTAGTTCCTTTATATTTGTTATTAACTGTTTTATGTATTTGGGTGCTCCTATGTTGGGTACATATTTACAATTGTTATATCTTCTTATTGGATTATTATATAGTATCCTTCTTTGTCTCTTGTTACAGTATTTGTTTTAAAGTCTATTTTGGTGAAATAAGGATTGCTACTCCAGCTTTGTTTTGACATCCATTTGCATGATAGATGTTTCTCCATCCCCTCACTTTCAATCTTCAGATATTTGGATCTAAAATGAGTCTCTTATAGGCAGCATATAGATAGGTCTTATTTTTTTCCCCCATTCTTCACCTTATGTCTTTTGATTGGAGTGTTTAGTCCATTTATATTTAAAGTAATTATTGATAGATATGTATTTATTGGCATTTTATTACTTGTGATTGTTTTTGAAGATTTTCTCTGTACCTTTCTTGTCTTTTTCTCTTTCATGTTTTGTTGTTTTTCTTTAGTGAACTATTTCAATTTCTTTCTCTTTATTTTTTCCCTCTTTACTACTGGTTCTTGATATATGGTTACCATTAGGGTTCTATATAACCTCCTCTGCATATAGCAGTCTATATCAAGTTGATGATCGCTTAAGTTTGAACCCATTCTTTACTACTCTGCTCCCCATGTTTTAGGTATATGGTGTCATATTTTATATCCTTTTCTTTGTGAGCTCCTTGACTGATTTTTTACAGAAATTTTTCGTTTTCACTGCTTTTGTGTTTCCTTCTTTATAGTGTCACTTTTGGTCTCTCTTTTCCACTAAAAGAGTCCCCTTTAATATATCTTGCAGGGCTGGTTTAGTGGTCACAAACCCCTTTAGTTTTTGTTTGGGAAACTCTATCTCTCCTTCTATTCTGAATGATGCCTTGCTGGATAGAGCATTCTTGGCTGCAGATTTTTCCTATTCAGCACTTTGAATATATCATATCACTCCCTTCTGGCTTGTAAATTTTCTGTTGAAATGTCTCCTGCTAGCCTTATGGGTTTTCTCTTGTAAGTTAATAACTTCTTTTGTGTTGCTGCTCTTAAGATTTTTTTCTGTATCACTATATTTTGCAAGTTTAATTACATTATGTCTTGGTGTGAATCTGCTTTTATTGATTTTGATGAGAGTTCTCTGTGCCTCCTGGATCTGGATATCTGTTTACTTTCCAGATTAGGGATGTTTTCAGCTATTATAAACTATAAATAAATTTCTGCCCCCTTTCTCTCTCTTCTTCTGGGACTCCTATAATATAAAAGTTATTAATTATGTTTAGTGGGGTCACTGTGTTTCCTAAATCTATTTTCATTTTGTGTAATTCTTTTGTCTCTCTTTTTTTCAGCTTGATTACTTTCCATTACTCTGTGTTGTAATTCGTTCCTCTGCTTCTGCCATCCTGCTATTCATTTCATCAAGTATTTTTTTTTTTCATTTATTGAGCCCTTTTTCTTGTCTATGTTATTCCTTATCTCTGTGTCGAGAGTCTCATTGATGTCTTCTACTCTTTTCTCAAGTCCAGTATCCTTATGATCATTGCCCCCCTCAGAGCTGGCCTGCCTAGGTTCCACTAACACCAGAGTGAGCAAGGACAGCCCACAGCAGGCAGAGAGTCAGTGTAGACAAGTGCACTGAAAGGAGAAGTGACTCAGACACAATAGCAGGGAATAAGCACATACATAGGATACTCTCCTGAAGTGCCAGGTTCTGGTAAACAGGGGACATCGCACCGCAGGGCATTCCAGGACCTCCTCTTCATAAAGTCAATACTTTCAAGAGCAGATAACATAGCTGACTTTCTTAAAATACTGAAATAGATACAAGAGAGGGAGACAAAATGAGGAGATAGAGAAATTTATCCCAAATGAAGGAACAGGACAAGACCCCAGCCAGAGATCTAAGCAAAACAGATATAAATAATGCCTGATAGAGAATTTAAAGCAAGGATCACAAGGAATTTGGGACTTGGGTGGTGCCCAGCATGATTTATGGAAGAGCTGTCCCGTCTCCTTTGTCAAGTACTGGTTCATCATATATGCATGTGTTTTTTTCTGGGCTCTCTATTCTGTTCTCCTGATTTTTGCATTATGTTTTTATGCCAGTACCATACTTTCTTGATTATTATAGCTTTGTAATATAGTTTGAAATAGTGAAGTGTGATGCCTCCAGCTTTTTTCTTTTTTTCTCATGGTTGCTTTGGCTCTGCAGGATCTTTTGTGGATCCATAAGAATTTTAGAATTTTTTGTCTGTTTCTGTGGGAAATGCCATTGGATTTTGATAGGGTTTGATTGAATGGACATTTTAACAAAATTTACTCTGCTTATCCATGAGCACAGGATATCTCTCCATCTATTTGTGTTCTTCAGTTTCTTTCATCAATGTCTTATAGTTTTTGATGTATAAATCTTTCACTGTCTTGGTTAAATTTATCCTAAGTATTTTATGCTTTTCATGCTATTGTATTTGTGTGTCGTCCTTATGCAGGGGCAATGCTAATTTTCTCTGTATTGTTGCAATTTTAGTATATGTGCTGTGGAAGCAAGCACTTTTTCATGCTATTATACATGGGATTGTTTTGTCTGATAGAAATATAGGTACCTCTAATCTCTCTTTCCATTTGCATGGAATATATTTTTCCATCCCTTCACTTTGAGCCTTATGTGTCTTTAAAGCTGAAATGAGTTTTTAGTAGCATATAGTTGGGTCTTTTTTAAAAAAATCCATTCAGCTGGGCACCTGGGTGGCTCAGTTGGTTAAGCGACTGCCTTCGGCTCAGGTCATGATCCGGGAGTCCCGGGATCGAGTCCCGCATCGGGCTCCCTGCTCGGCAGGGAGTCTGCTTCTCCCTCGGACCCTCCCCCCTCTCATGTGCTTGCTCTCTCTCATTCTCGCTCTCTCAAATGAATAAATAAATCTTTAAAAAAAAAAAAAAAAGGAAAAAAATCCATTCAGCCACTCTATGCCATTTGTTTGGAGAATTTTATTTATATTTAAAATGATTATTGGAAAAATAAATAAAATTATTATCAGTAGGTAAGGACTTAGTAATGCCATCTTGTTGATTATTTGCTGTCTGTTTTATATTTCTTTTGTTCATTTCTTCCTCTCTTCCTGTCTTTCTTTATGAATTGATGATTTCCCATAGTGGTATACTCTGATTCCCTTCTTCTCTTGTGTATCTACTATAGGTTTTGCTTTGTAGTTACCTTAAGGCTTACACAAAACATTTTATAGTTATAATAGTATACTTTAAGCTGATTAACAACTTCAATCATATACAAAAACTCTACCCTTTTATGCTTTCCTTTTTGTGTTTCTGATGTCACAATTTACATCTTTTTATATTGTGTATCCATTAGTAAGTTATTGCAGCTATAGCTATTTTTCATGTTTCTTTAATCTATATACTAGAGTTAAGCGATTAGCACATCACTATATTATAGTATTGGAGTATTCTGAAATTGACATATACTTATTTTTACTGATGTGTTTTATTCTTTCAAATGTTATTAATTAAAGTCTTTTCATTTCTGCTTGAAGAGCTCCTTTCAGCATATCTTGTAAGGCAGATCTGGTGGTGATGAACTCCCTCACTTCGTGCTTGTCTGGGAAACACTTTCTCTCTCTTTCATTTTAGAAGGAAAACTTTGCTGGCAAAGCTCATGGGGTCCTCTGCAGAGCAGGCCCCTGGGAATTGTGATCACTTTCTTTGTATGACTATATTAGTAGCCTCTGCCCTTCTTCCTTGTTTGAAGCCATTTCCATAAGTCTTGCCTTTGCCTGTCTCTGAGTAAGATTAAACTAGAACAGGTCGTTTGTGCAGTGCCCTAAAAGGGCGTGGAAGCTGTTCTCTCACGCTGTTCTCCCTTTCCCAGTGTGGGGAACTATTTCAAGCTGGAGTATTCCCTCTTGGTGCTGAGCAATGTTGGCCTGGTGAATTGGATGATGCAGTCAAAATGAAACTGTCTTCCTTCCCTTTTTGTGAGGTTATTCACAGGCTTTTTTGTTCCACTGTGTTGCTGAAGTTTGTTGAATGGATTCCTGAGCTCTCCGAGAACTATTTTTGTTTGTTCATAGCCATCTAACTATTGAACTTCATTGTAGGATGGAGGCTAGAGTCTCCTACTCCATTGTTTTGGCGATGTCACTCTGGACAGTCTCTCGATGTTTGCTTTTAATAGATGAATGCTATTTTGAATACCTTCTTTTGAGAGTTAACCCAACTGAAGGACCAGAGAAAACATCTAAATATATTCTACTGTGGGTTTTGGTTAATATTTGAATTATAGTTGCTTTTGCAAGGGCAATACTTTTACAACATAGTTTTACATATTATTTTGCTTATTTAAAAATTTATATTAACTGCTCATTGTAATTTTTGTTTTCTTTTTAAAAGACAATGCCGTATCACAAGCTTTGGTTCTGTTTGGTGCCCCTAAGGAAGGCATTGAGATTTTTCATGAAAATAAAATGACAAATACTGAAGGTAAGGACTGAATGTAAGTTACATAGTTACCTTTGTAAACTATATTTACATTTAGCATTAGTTTGTGATGTCCATATTATATTCTTATTAAGAAATGAATCATAAATGTCACTAATAGTTAACATAGTAATGATATATAATATTAAAAGTACAATATTATAATCTATTTTATTAATAGTATATTAATTATATTTAAGCTGTAAGAATTTTTTATAATTTCAGAAATGTTGAATTTTTAAAATAAACATTTTCTTTATTGCTTATGCCAAGACTAGCAGGTGCTAGATCCTTTCCAGTTCATTGAGGATATGTTTCTTAGAAGAAAAAAGAAGCAGGACTAATATTTTTATGGTGTGAAATCCAGAATTAAGAATCTATAAAACATTAGCTCTTGCAAGTGTTTCTGATACTGTATGTGGAAAGAGGTAGAAAGAGATGACAAAAGGCATAGATTTCATGTATAGGGGCTTATGCTTATTTATTTTCAGTTTATTTTGTTGAAGAACTCTATATTAATCAAAAAATTCTAATCTTGATTTTGGTAAACTTCTGCTCTGGAGATTTTCAGTTTGACAGGATAAAATTGGGATAAGGTGACATTCTGATTCTTTATCTATTTCTCTCTGATATCTTTATCTTCTCTCTCTCTAGAAATGTTTATTAGAATTTTAATCTCCTGGCTTAGGGTTTATTGCCATAGTTTGGGACAAACTTTTTAAAATATCCAATGATTGGTTTATGAAACAGTTAATTCAAGAAACTGGAATATACATGTGCTAGTAGGATATAGAGTTATTTAAGACATGATCCTTATATGGAGTGTATAATCTTGCAGGCCAGATAAAATATAACTGTAAACAATTAGTACAACACAACAGAAAAGAATGGCTATATAGAGTAATAGCAGAGATGGCACAAGGTAATTAAAAGTTTCTGTACCCAATTCCAGTGTATAAGCATGGGGTCTCCCCACTACCAAGCAATTCTTGGACATGATCAAGGGTCCTACAATTCAGCTCAGTTCTGGCACTGTCTACCCGGAAATAGAGTTAGGTCCCACAAGTTAAGGGTTTAGTGCTTCAAGGCTTCCCCTCCCCGCACTGCAGAGGCCAGTCAAAGGTACAGGTTATCACCTGTGCTTCTGACCAACTACTAGAGGTTCCAGTGAAACCCCCTCCTTGGGTTTGCTAGAATGGCTCCCAGAACTCAGAAAAACATTTTTACTTACTAGATTACTGGTTTATTTAAAAAGGATATAACTTGGGAACAGCTAGATGGAAGAAATGTATAGAGTAAAGTAGTGGAAAGGGTACAGATCTTCCACGCCCTCTTTGAGTTTGCACTCTCCGCAAATCTGCACCTGTTCACCAACCTGGAAGCTCTCCAAACCCTGTCCTTTTGGGTTTTTGTGGAGTCGTCTTTATATAGGCATGATTGATTAAATCATTGGACATTGGCAATTGATTCAACGCTCCAGCCCCTCTCCCTTCCCTGGAGGTCTGGAATGGGACTAAAAGTTCCAATTCTCCAATCATGTTCTAACTTTCCAATCATATTTCTTCCCATTCTCTTGCTTGTCTTTTCATTCATTTAAATATCTGTTTGAGGAGTTGAATGTTTTGTCTTTGATGAAGTCTAATTTATTATTTTTTCTTTTATGTTTCTTCTCCCTCCATTCCTTCCTTCTTTCCTTTCTGCCTTCCTGCCTACCTGTACTTTAAAGATACTTTTCTATTACATTCTGGCTTGCATTTTTTTTCTGATGAGAAATGTAGCAGTTATTCATGCCCATGTTCCCATTACGTTATGTTCCCTTTTGTTCTCTGGCTACTTTAAAGAATTCCTTTTTATTATTGTTTTTCAGTAATTTGACTGTGATATTCCCAGATGTAGTTAGTTCTCTTGATATTTTAATTGTTTGGGATTTGCTGAGCTTCTTAGATATGTAAGTTTTTTCATCAAATTGTGAAATAATGTGGCCATTATTTCTACAAATATTTTTCACTCCAAATTTCTTGTTTTTGAAGAACCTTAACCTTACACATGTTAGATTATTTGATTTTTGTCACACAGTTTTTTGAGGATCTGTTCTTTTTTCATTTTCTTTCTGTTCTTTAGATTGGATGATCTCTGTCATTTCATCTACACATTCACTGAGCCTTTACCCTGTCCATTTGTTGTCAAGGCCAACCAATATATTTGTTAATTTAAATTTTCATATTTGCAGTTCTGGAATTTCCATTTGGTTCATTTTCATAGTTTTCATTTTTATACTAATCTTCTTATATGTTCACTTATTAAGGCCATATTTTCCTTTAATTACTTGAACATACTTTTTTTTTTACTTTTTTGAACATATTTATAATAGCTACTTTAAAATCTTTGCTGTATATAGATAGCTTCTGGGCCAACTTGGTTTCGGTTTCTACTGATTTTTTTCTAGACTTTTAAGACACACTTTCCTGTTTCTTTGTATGATTTAATACTGGATATTTGTGTAGTACATTGTGAGGACTCTGGATTCTGTTATCTGTCTCTGAAGGAAATTGATTCCTTTTCTAGCAGACAGCTCAGTCAGTCATTTGATCAACTTAAAAGTAGTATATGCTTGGTTTTATGCAAAAGTGAAGATATATATGTGTGTGTCTACACACACATTCACACACACACACAAAAAAGGAATTTACCAATCCCCTCTAATTTGGCTAAATTCTGTCTCCTCCACATATTATATTATAGCTTGATTTTAAACTTTTTTGGGTGGGCGTAGAGGAGGCTAGGCTCTTCTCTAATGTACAGTCCTTCTTCCTAAGCTGTAACACAAGAGAGTGTTCTGAGGCATTGATGAAATCTCTACATTCTGTCAGTACTGGACTTCTAAGGTTTTCTCCTCATCCCTCACCAATACGCTTTTACCAACACCATTCAACCTCTAGTGTTTTTGTTCCTTTCTCAATCCCATAGCATTTATTCTCTATTAACCTTCAGGTAATTTTGCTCTGCGTACACGTACAGTCTAGCCCTTATCTACAGATGCAGAGAGCACTCTCACATGGATTTCTGGGGGTCCTTCTCTGCACGGCTATGTCCTTTTCAGTTCCCTGCCCTGAAGATTCTGTCTCCATTACCCATGGTACTAGTCTTTGCCCTTTATCTCAGCAGGATTTCCATGCTCTTTTCTTACCCCAGATCTCTATATTTTAGTTGAAAAATTGTCCCTTGGCAGAGAGCATGGTGATTATGGGGCTCAACCTTATGAATTTTCCTTTCTCAGGAATCAAAAGTGGGCATTCCTATTTTCTAATGTCTGAAAACAGTTGTCTCACATATTTTTTCCAGACTTGGGAGACTGAATCTTTATCAGTTACTCCTTCACAGATGGTAGTAGAAATACTGATTAATGGGGTTTGTGAATGAAGATTTCATAAAGTTGAGAGAACAGAAGCCAGTTTACAGCATGGTAAAATTAAAAAAAGAGGGATTTATTCATTCATTCATTTATTCAACAGTTTTTTAAGGCACTAAACATAGTTTCTCTCCATAAAGAATGTAGAACTTCATGGGGAAGATGGATGGGGAAACAGATAAATGTGACACACTGAATACTAATAAAGGGATAGAAAATGCTATGGCTAGGTGTAGCCAAATGTCTGAAAGATTCAAGAATTCATGTAAGTTGCATAGAAATTTCAGTTTGAAGAAGAGATCAGAATATGAGACTATTGTGGCTGCTGGTATAGATTGCTCATTTGAAAAGAATTGTTAGTCAAAGCAAAATTTACTATAAGATAATAGCTGTAGGAAGTTGTGAGACACAGTAATAGGAAGACCTGTGATTACTTAAGGGAAGCAAAACTAAATACATTGAAATTGCAGATTTTGAAAAGACTGAAGGGAATGGAGATAAGGGAACACTGAACAGAGCCATTTATGTAGTGGTTAGAGTAGATGCAGTCTTTAGTCATCCCCGACTCGAGTCTGTGCATATTATTTTATGTATTCAGTGATAAGTGTCTTCAACCTTGTAAGGTTCAATGAAAAGAAAGTAACTCTAATATCATGGAAAGGTCACCCCCTGCCCCCCAATGCCCCCAGTGGGTAACAAAAACTAAAGGGAGATTTGTTTCTGTAAAAAAAAAAAAAAATTAAAGGTACTTCCTGTTCATCAAACAGGCTTTGCAAAGAGTAGAAATTATTTCTAAACTTGAGAGTATTGACTTTTTCTACATTTGGAAAGAAAATCAGGATGTTAAAAAGAATAACAGAATGTGAAAAACAAATCTGTGTTGAGAGAAGTTTTCTCCTGAGTACTGAGTTCAGATAAAGGGATGATACAATAATGGAACTACATATTAAAAGCAGGAGAGAAGGAAGGATGGACTGGGTGAATAAATTACATAAGGATCACATTCACAGAGCAAGGAGAGTTGGCAGTTTATGAACATAGTATTTTTATTTCATTTGCCCACATAATCAGCCAGTCCATATTTTTCCTCAAATGGAAGTTTCATGTTGCAGAGCCTCAACAAACCACAAGTGTAGCCTAGATCCAGGAAGATCTCACTTACCTCTTAGGCATTGATTCTGAGCAAGGAAGTTAAAGTTGGCCAGATGTTTAGAGAGGATGAAAGTCTTGCTTGAGCTTAGGTCTTTAAAGACTCACCCTGAGGGGCACCTGGGTGGCTCAGTCAGTTAAGTGACTCTTGATTTCAGCTCATGTCCAGATCTCAAGGTCCTGGGATTAGAGCCCTGTGTCTGTCTCCAAACTCACTGGGATGTCTCCTTGAGGATTATCTCTTTCCCTCTCCCTCACTCGTCCCCCCGCCAAAAAAAAATTTAGATAAATCTTTAAAAGAAAATAGATTCACCCTGACAATTTGTGCACAGACTTCACGAGGAGAAGTTCTGTCAATATGCTTGACTAAAATCATTAATTAGTTGTATCATGAAATTTTAGGTAAAAAGGATTTTATATAACACCCCACCAACCCATTCATTTATTAAGTGAGAAACCTGAGATTGGAGATTGAGTAGTTTTGTTTTTTTTTTTAAAGATTTTATTTATTTATTCGACAGAGAGAGTGAGAGAGTACAAGCAGGGAGGAGTAGTAGAGGGAGAGAGAGAAGCTGGCTTCCCACTGAGTAGGGAGCCTGACGCAGGGCTCGATCCCAAGACCCTGAGATCATGACCTGAGCCGAAGGCAGACACAACCATCTGAACCACCCAGGCGCCCCTAGAGACTGAGTAGTTTTAACTTAAGCATAGTTAGTTATCACTCCAGTCAAAAAGTGAATGAACCTGGACATCTAGTTTAGTGATCTAGGGTGTCTCTTTAAGCTGGGTAGAATTAAAAAGAAACAGGAAAGTTTTAACTTAGACTACGTCTGTATTAGAATAAAAACAGTGATAATAACTCCTGAATTCTGGTTCTGGGTTGTGCTACTTATGATGTCATGTCTTTTACAGACTTTTAGTGCAAATTTTAACTTCATAGTATTTCATTTTCTCCATGTTACCATATGTAAAATGTTAATCCTAAACCATGGGGTGCTATGAAAATTAATTAGTATTCACATAATAGGTTTAGAGTAGTACGCGCCGAAAAATGTTAAATGAGTCATTACTATCCTTTTTTCTCCACATTTAATGAAGCAAACAAGTGTTTTGAGTATAAGGACAACTGCCTGGTTGTTAAATGTGTTTTAAAACTTTCTTATTTCTAGAGGGAAGGGCAATGTGCCCTTATCAAGATATTTGGATAGGAGATCAATATGTAATTTTCACCAGCTTGTTCTTTAGTCCTATGACTATTATGGAGATGAAAATACATATCTATATATGAACTAAAGAGGAAAGATGGAATATAACACACAAAATATTCATAGCAAATATATGTGCTGAGTATAGAGCAAACTAAGATACATTAGAATATCAGGACTGATATCTTGAAGGAACAATCAAAATTCAAAAACAAATGAAAATATGAAGTATTTGAGATGCCCTGAAATATATTTTTAGGACTGCTTCTCTTTATTTTGCTATCTTTTTAAAAATATAAAAACAACCTTCAAAGTATAGCTTATACTCCAAAGCCAAGGAGACATAGTTCAAGACAGCTTTCTCACCTACCAGCTCTGTAGAAATGGACACATTATATAACTTAACTTCTCTAAGCCTTTGTTCCTTATCTATGAAATCAAGGTAATAATCCCATTTCACAAGATTGTTGTGAGGATTAAATAAAATGTGGAATCAAAAGTATTTAGCATAGTTCCATGATTGGCACATATTTTTAGTTTTTAAAAAATGTTAAAATATATATGTATATATAATATATGAGAGGGTAAATGCTTTTGTTTATAAGTGAAGGAGACACTATTTTCACAGAGATTGTGCTTTTGGAGGAGGGTATTATGAGACTTTATTTAAAAGATATTTAGGGGCGCCTGGGTGGCTCAGTCGTTAAGCTTCTGCCTTCGGCTCAGGTCATGATCCCATGGTCCTGGGATCGAGCCCTGCATTGGGTTCCCTGCTCAGCGGGAAGCCTGCTTCTCTCTCTCCCACTCCCCCTGCTTGTGTTCCCTCTCTCGCTGTCTCTCTTTCTCTGTCAAATAAATACATAAAATCTTTTTAAAAAAATATATTTAAAAGATTGCTGTTTAAATGTAGGTATTTACTGTCTCTGGGTTGGCAGTGAAACAAAAAAGCACAGGCAACAGTGTAAGTTCTATGTTCTTCAAGGTCAACTGAAATGAGGACACCACACTGTTCTCACTGAGGCACCAAGCCTATTTTGTGTCTTGCATTTAAGATCAGTGATTGCAGCTATAATCCAGCCCAACAGAGTCCTTAGAGGCAAAAGGACTGCAAGTAAGCACTTTGGTGGAGTTTCATGGACAACTTTGCTGTGCTTCTGCAACCTTCAGTTGATTCAGGACATGCCAGGATTAGAATCACTGAGGCACATCGGACTGAGTGGATTTTATGATGAGTACAACTTGAATGCTATAGTGGGAACATCAATCACTCTTTGCATGAGACTCCAATTTTCAGAAATGGAAGGTAGAAAATGAGGTTATTATAAGAATGAAGGGGACCTGCTTTTTTTTTTTTTTTTTTTCCCTAGCAAGAGAAATTCATGCTGGATTTAAAGAAGAACTTCTTCAATGCATGAGTGGTTGGATATTTACACTGGAAGATGTGGACTCTCTTTGAAGGGAGAATTTAAAATATATTTCAAAGTCATTTTTTAAGTGATCCAGGAACTACTTAGAAACAATTGGATTAACTGGTTTTCTGCCTTTTTTCTTTAGTTTTTTTTTTTTCAATGTTTAGTTCATGATGTTATGGAACACTTTATATAATTATATAATTTTAATACCATCATTATCATTCTATTACTTTCTGAAATATTTATCAATTTGTTTATTAAAGAAATTTAAAAAGTATTAGTATTAATGAAGCAGAATATTGTTTGTATATTCTGAACATCACAGTTTACTATTTTGTATGTAACTATTAACGAATTCTGTCTGCTTTATTTTTAAGGGGTGAATAAAGGCATTTACTTTAGCTATCCATGTCGACGTCAAAGCTGTGCTTTAGTAAACATCCCAGCACCATGTGTCAACAAAATGATTTCACACATTGAAGATTTGGAATCTAAAATACAAGAGCATTTGAAACGGGTAAGATTTAAAATGCTAACATTTTTGTAAACTCTATAGAGACTGTAAGGGCTGTTATTTATAGAGCTCAGGGAGTTTTTTTAATGATATTGGAATATTTTATAGAATTTTTGCTCAGTTGTGTAATTTACTAATCTAGACATGTTTTTGATAGTCTCACTTCATAAAGGTGAAACGACCTTACTAAATAGATTTTTTCCCTACCTCTTTGTTCCTTATCCGGAAGCAATCATGCTAAGTAGTAATTTCCATAAGCCACTTGACTAGTAAATTAAATAGTATTTACATTGTTTTTAGGAACACTAAACTGATTAGATGATTAGATGAGTAAATTGGTGTGTAGAAGGACAGCGTGCCCTTTTTAATGAGTTATTTTGTTCTAAAGAAATGCTTAATAGGTCTGTTGAAAGAGAATGTAATGATTCTTTCTTTTTAACCTGTTTGCCTTTATTATTCTTAAGGGACTTCAATCTTGAAATCACTGTAACTTTCGGTTATCTTCAGATGATTTAGGGATGATAAATACCTTCTCATACCTTTTATTAAGATTATTCTGAACAATTAGTGCAAAATTAGATTGCCCAAGCAGGAGGATGAGTTTGTGCTATTTCGCTTCCCTCACCACCGTTATTGGATCTGGCTCTGAGAAAGTTCTGATGGAGCAGTCATGATGCTTGAAGTAGGGTGATGTCTCCTTCAAGAGGCATTAGAGTTCAGTCCTTAAAATTGCAGACTTTAGAGCCACATGATCTGTGACCTTAGATAAAAATGGAGGTAATGACATTGTGTTGGACAAAATGCTAGCATATGATATGCACTCAATATATATTAGCTATTGTTATTTCTATAATATTATCATTTTATATTAGTATTATATTTATTTGTATTTATTATATTTATTTTTGTTCCTTCTTTGTTTCTCCAAATCAGCATACCTTTACAGAAAATGCTTTGTGTGTCATAGGTCTGATGGTGTCCTGGGCTTTGAGAAATACTATTAAGTAGATAGAAGAGAATTAATCTTTATTGATATGATATGCTGTATACTTCACATGTTTTTTTAATTAATGATTAGGCTTTTTTTAAATAATGAAAATAGATTTACAGGTGTTTTAATAATTCCAATAGCTGTGATTATAATAGCTATAGTATAATAGCTATATTAATAATTATAATTGCTCAAAACTATTTTTAAATGGTTATTCTTTTTTTTCTTAAAGATTTTATTTATTCATTTGACACCGAGAGAGAGAACCCACAAGCAGGGGGAGTGGGAGAGGGAGAAGCAGGCTCCTGGCTGAGCAGGGAGCCCGATGCAGGGCTCGATCCCAGGACCCTGGGATCATGACCTGAGCCGAAGGCAGAAGTTTAACCAACTGAGCCACCCAGGTGCCCCTTAAATGGTTATTCTTTTATCTAATTGATAGATGGGGAAATAACAATTTAAACAGTTAAGAAACTTGTCCAAGATCACAAGACAGAATTGGGATTTGAACCCACTGTCTGTTATCAAAACCCATGTTTTTTATGCAATCCCACTTGGGATTCTGAGCAGCTGATAAACTGTTAAACACTATGGATAATAGGCCAGCTAAAAGATTACCTTAGATAAAATAATTCACAAAGTAAACAGATATTTTATAGCTTATCTTCAGGAAAACTGAAAAAAAGAGCATTTCTTATGTAAATATGTTATGAAAATGAGCCAGCTGAATAAATAAAAAGGCCTTATAAAGACCAGGATCTTGGGGCACCTGGGTGGCTCAGTCGGTTAAACATCTGCCTTCGGCTCAGGTCATGATCCCAGCGTCCTGGGATGGAGCCCTGTATCAGGCTCCCTGCTCAGCGGGAAGCCTGCTTCTGCCTGTCCCACTCCCCCTGCTTGTGCTATCACTAGCACGAGTGTGCTCTCTCAAATAAATTTAAAAAATTAAAAAAAAAAAAAAAAGACCAGCATCAGAGTGACTTGCTTTTTGCTGTCTTTTGGTGCTTAGCTTAGAGCCTGATACATAGTAGGTGCTCAATAAATGTCTGTTGAATGGGAAAAAAATGAGGACCTGAAGCAGAACCTTTCTTTTCTAGATACATCTGAGACACCTATCCACCCAATACAGGAAAGAGCTACCATTTACCAAGCATCTACGATTTTCTAGGGGCATCTGGGTGGCGCAGTTGGTTAAGCATCTGACTTGGTTTCACCTCAGGTCCTGATCTCAGGGTCCTGAGATCTAGCCCCATGTTGGGCTCTATGCTCAGCGCAGTGTCTGCTTGAGATTCTCTCTCTCCCTCTGCCTCTGCCGCTACCCCCTGCGCCTGCAATCTCTCTCTTTCCCTCTCAAATAAAAAATCTTTAAAAAAAAGTAAAAAAACAAAAACATCTGCTATTTTCTAGTCACTTACCAAATATATATTTCTGTTTTTGTACCTCACAGGAATCCTATTTTATTGGTAAAAATTCTAATATTCAGGGATGTCCAATAATTTATACATCATCATACAGGTAGTAAGCATTAGAGTTAGAATTTGAATCGAGTTCCTTCTGACACAAAATCCCCTTTCAGTTTTTATTTTGTAATCCTTAAGGGCAAGAGAAGGCCTTAATTCCCACATTGACATGGGATGTTAGTTAGTACTTTGACAACATGAAGTACACAAATAACAATGTCAGATAAATACACTTCTAGACAAAAACTGTAATAATGATAATGATGTGTTAACAAGTAAATATACACATAAACATTATTTGAAAGATTGTGAAATGAATGCTCATAACTTTCTAAAAAAAAATTCAGGACTTATTTTAGGCTTTTTCTACTTTCTAAATTTAAAAAAAATGTTATTTTATTTTGACTACATATTTGGTAGTTAGATTTGCTAGTGTTGAACTGATAAAAGAGTATAGTTATAGAGTGTATTTATTTGTTTCTTATGCTATATTTTTTGTTTAGGTCACCACAACTATTCAACTATTGATTAGACATTTAATTATATTTGAATTAATATTTTGGGAATGAAATGGTACCACCTATCTTATTTAAAGATGAATATTTTTTTTTCTCTGACTAACCTACCAAAATGAAAAGAACTTTAAAATATTACTTGGAAAAATGAACTTTTAGTAGTACTGGTTAGACAACTTTATATTCATAGTCTTTATTGAAAATTTTTTTTCTTTTTTCTTTTTTTGATTTTATTTTATTATGTTATATTAATCACCATACATTACATCATTAGTTTTTGATGTAGAGTTCCATGAACCATTATTTGCATATAACACCCAGTGCTCCATTCAATACATGCCCTCTTTAATACCCATCACCAGGCTAACCCATCCCCCTCCCCTCTAGAACCCTCAGTTTGTTTCTCAGAGTCCATAGTCTCTCATGGTTCATCTCCCCCTCCAATTCCCCCCTTCATTTTTCCCTTCCTACTATTTTTTTTTTTTAACATAAATGTATTATTTGTTTCAGAGGTACAGGTCTGTGATTCAACAGTCTTACGCAATTCATAGCATTCACCATAGCACATACCCTCCCCAGTGTCCATCACCCAGCCACCCCATCCCTCCCACCCCCCACCACTCCAACAACCCTCAGTTTGTTTCCTGAGATTAAGAATTCCTCATATCGGGGGCACCTGGGTGGCTCAGTCGTTAAGCGTCTGCCTTCGGCTCAGGTCATGATCCCAGGGTCCTGGGATCGAGCCCTGCATCGGGCTCCCTGCTCGGTGGGAAGCCTGCTTCTCCCTCTCCCACTTCCCCTGCTTGTGGTTCCCTCTCTCGCTGTGTCTCTCTCTATCAAATAAATAAAATCTTTAAAAAAAAAAAAGAATTCCTCATATCAATGAGATTATATGATACATGTCTTTCTCTGATTGACTTATTTCGTTTAGCATAATACCCTCCAGTTCCATCCACATCGTTGCAAATGGCAAGATTTCGGGGGTTTTTGATGGCTTCATAATATTCCACTCTATAAATATATACCACATCTTCTTTATCCATTCATCTGTCGATGGACATTTTGGCTCTTTCCATTGTTTGGCTATTGTGGACATTGCTGCTATAAACCTTGGGGTGCACATACACCTTTGGATCACTACATTTGCATCTTTGGGGTCAGTACCCAGTAGTGCAATTGCTGGGTCATAGGGTAGCACTATTTTCAACTTTTTCATGAACCTCCATACTGTTTTCCAGAGTGGCTGCACCAGCTTGCATTCCCACCAACAGTGTGGGAGGGTTCCCCTTTCTCTGCATCCTCGCCAACATCTGTCATTTCCTGACATGTTGATTTTAGCCATTCTGACTGGTGTGTGGTGGTATCTCATTGAGGTTTTGATTTGAATTTCCCTGATGCCGAGCGATGTTGAGCACTTTTTCATGTGTCTGCTGGCCATTTGGATGTCTTCTTTGGAGAAATGTCTGTTCATGCCTTCTGCCCATTTCTTGATTGGATCATTTGTTCTTTTGAGTTGAGTTTGATAAGTTCTTTATAGATTTTGGATACTAGCCCTTTATCTGATATGTCATTTGCAAATATCTTCTCCCATTCTGTCGGTTGTCTTTTGGTTTTGTTGACTGTTTCTTTTGCTGTGCAAAAGCTTTTTATCTCAATGAAGTCCCAATAGTTCATTTTTGCCCTTGCTTCCGTTGCCTTTGGCGATGTTTCTAGGAAGAAGTTGCTGTGGCTCAGGTCAAAGAGGTTGCTGCGGCTCAGGTCAAAGAGGTTGTTGCCTGTGTTCTCCTCTAGGATTTTGATGGACTCCTGTCTCACATTGAGGTCTTTCAACCATTTTGAGTCTATTTTTGTGTGTGGTGTAAGGAAATGGTCCCGTTTCATTCTTCTGCATGTGGCTGTCCAATTTTCCCAACACCATTTATTGAAGAGACTGTCTTTGTTCCATTGGACATTCTTTCCTGCTTTGTCAAAGATGAGTTGACCATAGAGTTGAGGGTCCATTTCTGGGCTCTCTATTCTTTTCCATTGATCTATGTGTCT